TTCTTGAAGAACTGCAGCCTGTGGGAGGGACCCCATGCTGGAACAGAGGAAGGGCATCAGGAGGAAGGAGTGACAGAGATGCACTGTTACTGACTGACTGCAACCCTCATTCCTTGTCCTCCCTGTGCAGCTCAGGGGGAGATGTAGAGAAGTTGCGAGAGAATTGAGCTTGGGAAGAAGGGAGGGGTGAGGGGAAGGTGCTTCTTTTAGATTTGTTCTTGTTTTTGTTATTCTACTCTAATTTGATTGGCAATAAATTTAATTAATTTTCCCAAGTTGAGTCTGTTTTGCAAATGGGAGTAACGACTGATTGATCTCCCTGTCCTTATCTTGACCCGTGATCTTTTTCATTGTATTTTCTCCCCATCCTGTTGAGGAGGGAGTATGGTAGAGCAGCCTGGTGGGCATCTGGTAGCCAAGGTTTGCACACCATAGAATGGTACCACGAACCTTTAAAGGAGTTCTGTCATAGAAAACCAAAAAGTATATATTGAGCAGAGCAATTTCCTATAAAGATCACTCGCAAGAGCAACCAAGTGAACTCAACCATGCAGGAAAGTGACAAGTCTCTGCCAAAAATTCATCAAACAAAAAAGACTGAAACATCTCAAATATTCAGAGTGCAAGAGCACTGGAAATTTCCTACCAGAGTCGCTTAGTCATATGCATGTCTTTTTAAAAGTTCTAGCTTGGGTGTGCATATTCATAAGTACAAATTAGAAAAAATGTTTGCATTCAAAGTGGATGGGAGATATAATTTTAAGAGCTTATAGAAAGTCAAACAGAACTAAAACTAAAATTCAACATTTAATTTTATTCAAAGGTGGAGTCAATATCTGAAATACAGGCAAGAGATAGAATCTAAAATCATTGATGGCTGAAACAGGAATAATTACTTTTGTTGAACTTATTGCAATAGGCACAATCTCACCCATTCCCTATGAGTAGGTCCCATTTTCAGAGTGTGAAACATCACTCCTATAGTCACAGAAATGGCAGGAAAAAAATTAGCCATGTAAAATTTACAATATTTAAGAAAATGAACCTGTTCTCCTTTCATAATGAAAGTACACCTGTAGCA